TTGGCTTGTTGCTAGCCAGCTTTTCTTTTCTTTCTTTCCTTCTTTCTTTCTTTCTTTCTTTCTTTTTTTTTTTTACGTTTTTCGAGACAGGGTTTCTCTGTGTAGCTTTGGAGCCTGTCCTGGAACTCACTCTGTAGACCAAGCTGGCCTCGAATTCACAGAGATCCACCTGTCTCTGCCTCCCAAGTGCTGGGATTAAAGGCGTGTACCACCACCGCCCGAGTGACAGTTCTCTATGCCACCAGCTCAAAGGGAATTAAGAATTTGGACCACTAAAAGCATTCCTTGGCAGGTGGTTCCTCACTAGGCCACACTATTTTTTAGGAGTTTGGCCATTACATACAGATAATGGGATTGGGCAGGAATCAAATCAGAAATGTTAAAAATGTACCAAGACTCTAGAAGAACAATCAGGGCAGACCTTGATGCATATATGACCCTGCAAGTACTGGGAGCTAAGGGAGGAAGCCTTGGGGCAGGAGAGAAACTTAAGGAAGAGGGTAAGAGAAAAGGGGGCAAATAAGAGGTGTGCCTTCCCTTTACTTCCCTACCTGAGCAGTTAAAGATCTGGCAGATTTCTCAGACACAATCAAGTGAGCAAGATAGACATTTCATTTATGTTAGAAACTTTCTCATGATGTTACAATTCTTGTTTTAAAATACAACTTGGAATATTTAGGGTCTTGCTACTGCAACAAGTAGATGTGAGATGATGCTTTTGCTCATTTTAAATAATTAAATGTGCTATGCTATTTTATTAAAATGCCTATGACTATTCAGTAATAAATAATTTATTTGATAATGTTATTCTGAGTTTTATTGTAAGGATTTGGTTTTCTTGATTTGTATACTAGATAGTTTTATGTCAGCTTGACACAGCTAAAGCCATCTGAGATGAGGGAGCCTCAATTAAGACAATGCCTCCCTTAGATCAGTCTGTAGGCAAGCCTGTAGGGCATTTTCTTAATTAGTGACTGATGGGGGAGGGCCCAGACCATTGTGGGTGGTGTCATCCCTTGGCTGGTCTTCTTGGGTTCTATAAGAAAGCAGGCTGAGCAATCCTGGGGAGCAAGCTGGTAATTAGCATTCCTTCATGGCCTTTGCCATCAGCTCCTGCCTCCAGGTCACTGCCCTGTTTGAGTTCCTGTACTATCTTCCTCTGATGATGAACAGTGATGTAGAAGTGTAAGCTAAATAAACCCTTTCCTCCCCAAGTTGCTTTTGGTCATGGTGTTTCATTGCAGCAATAGAAACCCTAAAACAGTTTGTATAGAAGAAATCTAATATTGTCCTACTTGCCTGGGAGACGTGATTTTTATTTATTTGTTTGTTTGTTTGTTTGCTTGCCAAAGATTGAGCCTATGGTCTTGCACATACTAGGCAATCACTCTACTGCTCAGCTATACCTCTGGCCTATACTTTTCATTTTAAGACAAGGTCTCACTAAGTTCCTCAAGCTGCCCTTGAACTTGCCATCTTCCCACCTCAGCCTTCAAGGAACTGGGATTGCACACCTGCACTGATAGACTCAGCAATGAACATTATATTCAGAATTCACTCTGTCACCATAAAGTGACTTTATCTATGTACTTTTTGATCC